AATTAATTAATTTTTTTTTTAAAAACAAAATATTTTAAACTTCTTGTCTCGAACTTTCAAGTAATTTAATTACTATGTATACGGATCTTTTGTATTATTTCTTATGGAGTAATGTTTTTCATTATATAATTAATAATTTAGGTAACAATGGATTTCATTGAATAATGAATTAGAGGATCCACAATCACTTGGACGAGTGAAGTTCACAAATAATGATAAATAGTATTCCTACCAAATTATGACTTATGCATCATTCTAAGAAATATATTACTTACCGAACATGTTCAAAATGTATTCAATTAAAACTTTGCATGAAACCTTTTCAATGAATAACTGAACAAAACAATATGGAAATAGTAAGGAAACTTTAAGTATGCTTGGGGAATGTTTATAAACGATTTAAATGGTAAATAAAAAAATAGGTGATAAATAAGTTGATAATGTTTGTAGATCCCTCAAAATATATAGATAAAATCGTTTGAGTGTTTATAAACAATTTATAAATATGAGCCGAACATAGGTTAAATCATTAAGATATGTCAATACGAAAATATTAATTTCACAATGTTTGTTCTTTTTATCATGGTATTTATATTTATTATTCTTTTCTTGTTCGATATATTGGCATGGCACATCACATGCTATGTCTTGTACTACAACTGCATTAGATACAAAATTACACCGTACACAATCCGAAAAATAACATCGAATTCTTCTACAAGTACACCAACAACTCGAATTTTATAAATTATTTTTCAAAAACTAATAAATTAAAATATTATTTAAATAATAAAATTGAATGTATCTATTATTTTCATGAAAGAAGTAAACTATCGTGGTCGAATGTCACAAATACACTAGCTTTGTGACATAACTCGAGTCGAAGAAAATGTGGTCTAAAATTAATAATGAAGTTCGACCACCAACGATTGAATTGATTATCATTTTATTGTCATTAAATTAATGATATGCACCAAAACTTCATGAATTAAAATAAAATTCTCGATGGAAGTTTAACTTGTAATAAAGAAGAGTGGGGTTTATTATGTTAATGACGGAAGCGTAATACTACAAATATTTTGGCTGAATTATTTCTTAGGATTTGATCTTCTAGCCTTTGTTATTATGCTAATACCAACCAAATGATTGATAAAATCTTCAATTTGAATAAAAATGATATATATTTGTAACATAATAAATAAGGTGATAACTTAATATTTAATTAAACATAAAATTCACTCCCTCAACTAATCATCTTATTTAAAAGTTTAAAGTATTAGAGATATGCCATATTTGTTCGTTTCTTTCAGCATGTTTCCCCAGTAGGGCATCACTTATGTCTTGAGTTCATTGAAAATAATTTGAATTTTAGCCCACCCGAACGTCTTTTTCTGAATTTGCCGTTTTGGAGTTAGTATATTGTTAGAATTTAGGTGTGATCCGAATCTCTTATTGAAGTAATTGAAGAATTATAAATGAAGTGTACACCAAGAAAAATTTAGTTTGAAATGCTATTGGAGTCCTATGTCAAGTTGAAATTCTATTTTGAAAGCCTATTTAGGGATGGCAAAAAAACCCCGACAAACTCGATACNCCTTAAACGGGGAATGGGGCGGGGACGGGGAATGAATTTCTTAACGGGGCGGGGGACGGGGAGGGCATCCCCGCCCCACCCCGCCCTGTTGCCATCCCTAAGCCTATTGGGAGTTGGAATTTGTTTTAGACTCAATTTTTTTGTATCCTACTTCATCAACAACTCTACTAGAAGGGTTTGGACGTCCCTACATATTTCATATAAATATTAGACTCTTTTATATAATTTTATAATGTGAGAAAAGATATTACTAGAAATTTAGGATCAATTTTATATTTCTCCATTATTAATGGTGCAATGAAATCACTTGTCTTCTTTTATTCTTTTACTTGTGATTAAATACTTCATTATTGTGATATATAACTTCAATATCTTAATATGGTGGTTGATTTTATATCAAGTGGCATAGAGCAATACGTGATCTTTGAATTCCCAACGATTGATATCAGAAAAAAATTCTAAGTATAATTAACATAACATATTTCAAGTATGTCCTAATTACTTTGTTTATATTACTTCAATTGATTTTTGGTTGACATGGCTGATTATGACCTAACATATGATTAAGATGAACTGATATGCTTAATGTAATGCAAATCAATAAGATAAATAAAAGATAATTGTAGTTGGTTTTTGGTTGACATGGCTAATTATTATGACCTAACAAATGATTAAGATGAACTAATAATAAGAAAAAAGTAAAAGATAAAGAACATGAATATTTTATGAACATAAGCCAATTAATTATGTCTTTTTTCATGATTGTAACACTCAAATCCAAAAGCTAGAAATACAATTTCAAGAATAATTGATTATAAATTCTTGAAATTTAATAATAAAACAGTGTTAAAGGTTTGAAGATGCTATCTTTTTATAGTAAAACATTTTTGTAAAAAGTGAAGTTGAAATTGAAAATTCTATCTGATACAAGCACAACTCGTTAGAAATTAAGAGTAATACAAAGTAGAAGAGGATAGTAAACACGTCCTATGTTAAATAATTCAAAGAAATAAAGAAAAGGAAAAATGAGGTTAGGATTTCATTAATTCTACATAATACAATTGAATACAAAAGAATAATTTAATTTAAAAATAAAGAGACTATATATAGGCTAAATAAAGAAAATTGAAAAGACTATTCTATCCTTAATAAATAATAAAATAAAATAACCCTATATTTCTTAACAACTGGAAAGGGAGAATAAAAAGGATTACTAACCTGTAGTGATTGATAAAATGCGGGCATTGATGGGTTGATGCTTTTGATCAGTTAGCCACTTGGGGAAGGCATTCCCATTTATTTCCACAATTAATCTCTCTCTCTCTCTTCTATGGAACCT